CATCCAATGTGTGATTCTCTGAGATCCAAAATGGCCGTCATTGGGATTTTGATTTCCTGTTGTGATGTCATCTTTATGCGTCAGTCCTGGAGCAGACGTCAGAAAATAAACTAGAGCAACCGGTCTCCTTCTGACACAAAACGCACAGCCTCTTTTCTCCTTCTCTTCCCTCTCCTCTTTTCTCCTTTCCTCTCTCCTTTTCTCCTTCCCTCTCCTCTTTTCTCCTTCCCTCTCCTCTTTTCTCCTTTCCTCTCTTCTTGTCTACTTCCCTCTCTTTTCTCCTTCCCTCTCTTCTTTTCTCCTTCCCTCTCCTCTTTTCCCCTCCTCTGTCCACCCCTTCCTCCCATCCTCCCTCCTTTCCTCTTCTTCTCTTATGGCATCCTTTCTCCCTTTCCTCCTACCTTGTATTCGTTAAACTTTGAAAGCGACAAATCAAACACTGGGAAAAAGAAATCAAAGCCTGAAGAGGAGTACACCAACGGTCAGAGGAGGAAGCTAAGGAGGACGAGCAGGGCGATGATGAAAAGGGAGGAGGCATGCTGCAGGTGCAGACACAGAAGTGCATGCAGGATGTTAATTTTCAGGCTGCAAAGAGGAGAGAAAAGCAGCGAGCTCTCACTCTGCTGATGATTTCAGCGTCCTTAAAGCTCAGCTCTGTTTGATCAAAGCAACACGTTTTTATTCTATTCAACAAATAAAGACTTTTATTGACATGATGTCATCAACATGATGTCATCAACACACTTATTGAAGAAGCAGAGGAATTTCTGGCACAACTTCTCCAACTAACAAGGTGCATGAAGAGTGGCTTTTTCGTGCCTTTAATGCAGAGATAGGACAGTGGACAGATTCGGAAACCATGGAGAGAGAGCGGAGAATGACATGCAGAAGGGGGCCACGGGTGGAAGCAAGCCCGGGCCTACCGCTTGAGACGAGAGTCTCAACACATGGGACGCGCACCCTAACCATTGCGCCACCAGCGCGCCCCTGGTGATGTGTTTAAGTAAAAAGAAACCTTGATGCCTAAAGTAATACCTGAGTGGGAGGAGTTATGCTTTCTCTGTTCTCCTGATGTTTAAGAGATACCCACAGATTAAAACATCCCATAATAACTCATGGAGCTCGGATCAGTCTCAGGTCACTGCAGCAGAGACTCAAACACCATAGATTAGAATATGAGGACTGCACCGATATTTTAATGAATGACTTTCAAGGTTAGTCCATCCATCCTCTATATCGCTTTTCCCATTCAGGGTCACAGGGGGCTGGAGCTGATCCTAGCTGTCATTGGTCGAGAGGCGGAGTTACACCCTGGACTGTTCACTAGCCAATCACAGCGCTGATATATAGAGACAGACAACCAGACACACTGACATTCACACCTACAGACAATTTAGAGTCAGCAGTTAACCTAACAAGCATGTCTTTGGACTGTAAGAGGAAGACGGAGAACCAGGAGAGAACCCACACATGGAGAACATGCAGACTCCACACAGAGAGACTCCTGAAGGACGGGGATTCAAACCAGGAACCTCCTCACAGAGAGACTCCCGATAGACAGGGATTCAAACCAGGAACCTCCTCACAGAGAGACTCCTGAAGGACGGGGATTCAAACCAGGAACCTCCTCACAGAGAGACTCCTGTCAGACGGGGATTCAAACCAGGAACCTCCTCACAGAGAGGCTCCTGTCAGACCAGGGATTCAAACCAGGAACCTCCTCACAGAGAGGCTCCTGTCAGACCGGGATTCAAACCAGGAACCTCCTCACAGAGAGACTCCTGAAGGATGGGATTCAAACCAGGAACCTCCTCACAGAGAGACTCCTGAAGGACGGGGATTCAAACCAGGAACCTCCTCACAGAGAGACTCCCGTCAGACGGGGATTCAAACCAGGAACCTCCACACAGAGAGACTCCTGAAGGACGGGGATTCAAACCAGGAACCTCCTCACAGGGAGACTCCCGTCAGACGGGGATTCAAACCAGGAACCTCCACACAGAGAGACTCCTGAAGGACGGGGATTCAAACCAGGAACCTCCTCACAGAGAGACTCCTGAAGGACGGGGATTCAAACCAGGAACCTCCACACAGAGAGACTCCTGAAGGACGGGGATTCAAACCAGGAACGCCAGAGATTCTTTTTTTGCTGGTGCTATGCGGTTGCTCAACTTTTCGGCAAGTGTGCTCTGAGATTTTGGGTTCCCCATGCCGGTCACCAGTTTAATTTCTATTGCCTTCTATCGCCTACGATGCCGAGACACACGCACATAAAGGTACACACTCTGCAACATTCTGTGGGAAACACAAGGCTAGATATTCAGCCCATGGGATATAGATCATCACCTGTATGAGCCCCATTAGGTTTTTATAGATTCTCTGAGTCCACACGTGGACGTTTAGGGACAAGGAAACCTTTGCAAATGGTACATACAGTTACCACCTGGCTAACAGGAGGAAGTGGAGCAAAGTAAGGTCAAATGTTCAATGCTGCTGCGCCCATTGGTCAAATCACCTGTTTACTTTTAGTCTACAATATGTTTGTTTATTTATGTATTTATTCATTTTCAGACATTGAAAATTTTAAATAAACCACAGAATTTTCTTAGGGGTGCTAGGGGGA